AATGATTAAAAGAAGAACAACATACCAAACGCTTGGTCTAATATCTGCCACACGTTTCGAAAAACGTTGACATTGTTCGGATGAATACTCTCCGTTACTTTCATCTCTCATTTTTTGTGTTAATGTACGGAATACATTGAAATGATAGCGTAACAATTGGCACCTATACAATACATCTTTTAAATTACCGATTGGTTTAAGCATATTTTAATCGTAAAATTATTGAGAAGCACGATTGATGGATGGATTGATTGGAAATGACTTCTGCTACAACTATTAGACCAAAACAACAATGTGGTTTCAATCGCTGCAAATTGAATGGTCCATAAAGGGATCAGATTTAAAATTTACTTCACGTAATTGAAATAAATTTATGATGTAAAATGAAACGTGAGCTACGTAACACATTACTAAGGTGATCATCGTAAATTGTTGAATTACTTTCTAATAAAACTGAAACAATTATGCCATTTCACTTTTATTAGAAAGTAATCCAACAATTGCTGGAGTCATTACTTAAACTATAATGTCCTAATACATATTTTATCATTTTTCAATAATTTTCACTACTACAAAAAAATTTCCTTAAATTTCGATGTAAGCCATGTGAAATATGTCAAAATACAAAAGCTACCTATCACACGGATGAGCAACAATTTAAGCTTATTTCATTTTAAACATCAATTAATACGGACAACTTTAGAATTTTGAAAGTAAAAAATCTTACAAAGCATTGATAAATTTGCTTGTGCGATAATTCTCATGAACAAGAAGAAGTGAAAATGCATATTTTCTAAATTTTCGAAATTCCTGAAAGAAGTTTTGAAAATGAGAAAATTAGCAAGGAAATGGGAAAAATGCATTCATTATTCCAATGTAGAGCCAGCGCCTATACATATGGGCAATTTATGCCTCAATGCTACACACATGTAATTCCGTGACTCTTTTCCAGTCCTCTTTTGCAAACGTTATTTTTTGTGCTAAGTATCATAACGGAAAATGTTTTAGCAGTGTATCAATAGTTTTCATCTGAGAAATAATTATTTATTATGAATAAATTTGTGTTCGATTGAATACTCCCATTGAAGAATGGAAATGCTTTGGTAGTATTCAAAAACATTAAAATAGTTATGAAAAACAAAAAAAAAATTTATTTTCTGAGCACCTTTAATTCCTTCATCTCTTCTTGCAAATATCACTTTTTGTGTTATGTATAACAACAACGGAAAATGAAAGAGAATGAGAGAAAAATACAATAAATTTAACATTTCAAGTTTTAGAAATTTGCCTGTTGCCTGGATTTCTTAAAAAATTACTAATTCAACATTTTCTTTTTTTTTTCTTTTTCAAACACATGTATTTTTCATTTATGAAGGAGAACAACTAATTTTAAAAATAATGAAAAAGATAAATTTTAAAATTTTAAATTGAACAAAAATTTCCCCTTTGCGTACAAAATATAAACAACCTGTACACAGTGAAGTAAAGTTATGATCATATCACATTATATCGTATATTCAACATATCAGCGTGACAATTATTGCATTAATATCATGCACTCATTAATACGGATTATTTACTATGAATAGGAGAAATAAAAGAAGTGCTTTTGCAACCTTTCTTATACTTTTTTCTGTGAAGTTTTGTCTCAAAAATGGATAAAAAATCCACATGCTCCTTTACTGCTTTTGGAGAAAATTTTTCCAAAAAAAAATTCTGAAAACTGTATTAAACCAAAAATTTTTCATCGTTTCTAAGAAGTGATTTGAAAAATACAGAAATGCTGTAAAAGCAAACATCGGACAAAAACAGTAAAAATTTGAAAATATAGAATTATTAAAAAAAGAAAGCATAAATAAAAGAATAGAAATAAACCAGAAACAATGTTAAAATATAGAAAGAAAGAGAAGACATGCACTTTCCCCCTCCAATTAATAAAGTCATAATCATTATCACCAATGTAATCATCATTATTGATAAATATAAACTTGAACAAAAACGAAAATAAGAAAGGAGCACTTTTGAGAAATTATATCATTATCATGTACATTATTGTATCGTTTTCATATAACTGAAATATTGCAAATAATGAAAATTCACATTTAAATAAAAAAATTCATTTCTTTTTCTTTTTCAAAATCAACGAAATACTAAAGACAAAAAGAGAAAATACAAACTCTCAATTGTTGCAACAGTTATTTTTCCTGGAAGGCACATATAATATCATTATTATTACTGATCAAAAGGTAACCCTAGTAAATGCTTGGCACCATTTAAAAGTACATATCATACGACAATCATATTCTGTCTCTTTACCATTTGGATCTTATCTATACTCTTTCTTAGGGACAATCAATTTGTAATCACGAAATGAAGTGCATGAAATATTAAAAAATTCGTTTTTGTCTTTCATTCTTGTAGAAAAAAACATAAGCATATAAACTTTTTCCTTTTGGAATTAACTTAATCAAATCTCTCTTTCATATTTTTGAGTGGTATTCTCAGATTTTCAAGTACCAATAAAAATTTAAGAAAATGTAATATTACAAAAAAAGTTAAAGGAATTATATGGGACATTTCATTCCAATGGGCCACAATATACTTTTTCTATGTCCCCAATAATGGGTGAAACAATAAATTTTAAAAAAAAGTGAATAACTAACATTCAAATCACAGTATTTCAGGCTTCTTCATTAAACAATGATTTAAAAAACGTAAGTAAACAATGACGTATACATTGGATCACAGCATTAATATCTCCTTTCTTAGTGTGTAAATCAGCAGCACGTTGACGATTTAAAACACGGCGATAAGTTTATGTATTTATGTATGAAGCATCATTTTTTTGAGCAAGAAATAACATACTGGAGAGCATCATCCAAATCGGAGAAAATCTGAAAAGAAAAACCAGAAATGATTTTAAAGTACATGTTTGGTATCACTTTTTGTTTAGAAAAATATAACTGAAATTCATTTCCGACATAAAGTAACTTGTGTTAAAAATTTAGTGTTACCAAATAAAAAAAACGTATTCGTAATAACCTATATGTAAGAGGTTTGCCAACTGCTTGAGTTTACAAAAGTGTGACTATCCAGTTTTAAAAAGCACCTCGCTTTCTTGAAAGCAATCTCAATTATAGGATTTTTTTAAAAAATATATTAATTAAAACTAATGACCTTTTTGATGCAAAAAGTATATTTTAGTAATAAACCTGAATTTCATTTAATAATTACAGACGAATCGTTATGAAAAAAAATTAAATCTTTGAAAAAGAAACGGGAAAAACAAATCGAACTTCACAACGTTTTCTCTCAGCCATATCCCTGAGATAGCAAAATGCCATACGATATGATTCATTACGCCTTTCAATATACTTCGTTAATTCATCATCATCATTTGGTGCAGAAACAAACATTTTAGCACGTTTTGGCACACAAATCGTCAACTCCATTGTTGGATGACCAAGAAAATAGGCTATCTGAAATAGAAACAAATGATTAAATAAACCGTTATGCGTCGTCACAATTTAATTGGTAATTACATAAATAAAAATTACAACGAGAGAAAAAAATTTGAAGTGATGATTCCAGTGCAGCTCTGAAATTTCCCGAATAAAAGAAGACTGCACCATGCAAACAGTTCTCAGTTCTTAGTGATAGACGACTATCACAATTCCGTCCTCTAATATTATAAATTCAAATTTTAAAATTATGCCAAAAGGTATACCTCAACCATGCCTGAAAGCATAGTCTCACAAGATGGTATATGATAAAGTATGTGCCTCGTCATGTGTAAAGTATTCAATCTTCTATGCTTTTCCACCATTAACTCTGAACAAAACGATAATCCTTTCCTGCTGCAAAAAGAAAATCTCTGATTTTTTTTGACTTGAAACCTTCATACAATCTACACAAAAAATAAATAACTACGAAACTGCAATATACAATTATTCTTCAAGAAACCTAATTTCAACAAAGCGCGCTGTATTACCATGAAACCCACTGAGCTGTAAGTGTCAGCGATTTTGATTCTGGGAGTTCAAATTTGGAAATCACTATATTTTAATTACAACCAAAAAATCTTGATACAGCAATGTGAACCAGTGAATTCTTTAACATTCTTAAAATTAATCAAAGTTATTAAGTTAGTAACTTGTGGTTTTAAAAAGCGCAAAAAAAATAAAAAGCCAACTGTAATTGCGGTGCAGCACGGTGATTAATCCAAGCAAGATCAATACGATTTCTCGAACTGCATCCAAGAAAAATATCATATCCATTCGCATTCGTCCATCTCAGTGGATTTGCAACACTAATGCTACTATTATACGACCGCTTTTTCAATACTGCAAATTTATTTGCTTCGTTTCTATGCAATTATAAAAATAGAATTTTTTTGTTAGCATAAAAAAATTCTTTTTTCTTTTTGCTTTAATGTTGATTGTTTTGCAGATTTCATCTATTTGCTGGCATGAATTTAAAAATTACTGCATTTTTAATGTTGATTGTACTTTCTCACAGTATCCAAACTTATGGCATCGGCGTACACAAAAATTTTAAATGAACTTCAGAATCATAAAATATAAAGTGTTAAATAAGCTAACTGTATTATGACTAAGTTAATTTAGTCCTATTAACACCTAAAACAGTTGCAAACGAATAACTCAAAGCCAGAAATTTCGATTTAAGTGAATTCAGTTAAACTGATCATGTATTACTCAAATTCACAAAGAATTAGGCAAAGTTTCTCATGTACAATTAAAACTAGGCAATATTTTAAACTTCATTTGATAATCAGCATCATTTATATTTTAGTCGAAATATTTGAATCTGAAATAAAATGAACAAAATAACTACCAACTTCAATAAAAACAAAAGATTTATATGTTGTAGGAAAAAGACTTACAACGTGAAGAAAGTGAGGTTGCAGCTGCTTCCATACTGCGATTTATCGATTGATAACAATAACTGAGCGGAACTTGCTGAGCAACGATATTGCAAGGCACAACGGCATGACCGGGTATTGGTAGTGATACTGCTGCTGCATTTACTAATTTAGCACGACGTCGTGCAGCTGCATTTATTTTATAGCAATAGTAAATGGCTGAGAAAAGTGCCACGAAAACATCAAATGCTAGAAATGGTATCAGTAGGAGAATAAGTGGTAGCGTACGCAGGAAGAAATACACCGCCAATAATAATAAAATTTCAAACAAACCTAAAAAATTCAATTGAAATCAAATGCCCATTAGTATAATTTACCAAAGCGGCTTAGCACCGTAGACAAGATGATAGCTTTTGCCAGGAAAATCAAAGTTCGATTCCTTTTCTGCTTCAAACCTATTAAGTTTCAACTGATGCTTCAGTCTTGAACTCATGATTTTTTTCCGCTATAAAATAAAAATGTCAGCGAAATTTTCATACAGGAAAGTAAAGAAAACTGTTGACGAAAAATGCCATATAAATTCAAAATCTTGAATGAAAAATTCATTGCTAAAAATTAATTAGCTAATAAAAACAATATCCAAAAACAATCAAAAACTAATGACGGAAATGCAGAAATTTAGCAGTGCAGAATTTTTTGTTTTTACTTCAAGCTATAAATAGAACAGATTAAGGAAATTTATGCATTGTAAAGATCCAAATAATATAGAATGACAGAAACGAATTACCTAGTAAGAGAAATTTGCATCCCCTCCACTTTGTTACACCATTTTTAACATTTCGTAATGTACTTTGTATGTGATGTACTGATTGCCGATATGTACGCCTCCCTCGGAGAAGCATATACGGAAGCCTTTGAAACGGATTAGACATTGCTTCGGACCAGCTCTTTTCCCCAATTATAATTTCATCAATGTAACGAAGAGCATCCTATAAATGTCATATGAGTGTTGTTATGAGGTAGTATTTTGGAGTGCCAAAAGAAAATGCATAAATTCGAAACATTTTAATACCTAACCTATAGCAAAATCAAATGTAAAATGCCAGTTAGTAGCAACGAATGTCATACGATGAATGTCATAGAAATTTCAACGAATGTCATACGAAAATCGTAACTGTTACAGGAAAAAATAATTTCCTTATTAATTTTTTTTTTTAAATTCCAATTTGAAAGAAGTGAAATTTCCTCACTTCTTTCAAATTGGAATTTTTGCGGAACAAAAATCGATTAAGAGATGGAATGAAATAATATGAAATTGCCTAAAAACATAGAAAAAAACCTGAATGGATTGTAAGACAGGAACATCGTGTGTTGCTAGTATATCATCAAGAAGATCACATGTACGTTGCCTATCAGGTAAATCCTCAGGATGTGCTCGTTCTTTCCATTCTGCTTGCCGCAAGAAAACAACCACCAGCTTGGGTGCCTTTCGGACAACAAAATGGGCAATTTCCAGAAATGATGTTGCATTAACAGTTGCTGGATCAAGCACAAAAAGAAACAGATTTGAATTCTGGAACAAATTATTATGATGTTGGCTACAGACATTAAATTTAATCATTCTTGAATCTTCTCCCTTCACACACCATACCAGTTGATAACAAATCAAATGTCTTTTACATTATTAACCTTTTGATCCAATCTAATACATATACTAACTCGATGTCAATTCACCGTCTAGGATTTCAAGTCATTTATAAAACAATTAGCAATGCTGATGAGAAATTCAGTTCACAAAAAAAGGACCTCTTTGGCAACGCTTTCTTCGTTAATCATATGTTCATTCCAAATACTTCTCTGAGGGTCGTAATAGCTGATAGCGCGTTTTTCCAAGTAAGGTATTACCTATAAAAATGAAATTCAGTGTTTCGTCAAGTAAATCCCTTATTCAAATTTTTTATTCTTTGAAAACAAACTCTTTCTAACTAGTCTGATTATTCTAAAACCAAACACAAAGGAATAGTAGTAACTAAGTCTCTCCGCCATACAGTATTGCCACAGCTGCCACCCAAAAATACGTCATAGATCGGTCTTGGTCGTAATTCCTTAACTTGTTGACCCACTGATTTGGCCGTCAAAAACTGGTTTGCAACGTAGAAATCACAACCACTCTGTAATATTGCTGACTACAATAACTATTGTGCTCAGGAATAAATTTGCTAAATTTAAGAAAAAATTAAAAAAAAAAATTCCGGGAATTTCCATCAATGACTTTTAAATAAACAATAGTAGAATTTTACGATATTGATGAAAAATTCGTATGTCACAAAGAATTTTTGTAACTAAAATATCACTCTATTCATTTATATGTTTCTCTGACCAAGAGTATGTATACAAAAATTAAACATCCACTGCCCGTTTTATTTCATCATTCCTCTCTCGTTTTTACAGATGCCTATGTAAAGTCATTTATATCAAGAACAATCAATGTGCGATTTCACATTCTGATTTATTTGTTCATGAATATACAATTTCGTAGCGCCAGAAAGTCTTTTCTGTTTTTTATTTTTTGTTATTTTCATTATTTAATAATAAAATACCCGTCAAGACATTTAAGCCAAAATTTCTCATTTAGAAAGAACGTACAAAAAAATAAGCGATTAGTGAATTCCTAAAATAAAGTAAACTGGGAGGGAATAAAAAGGAATGCGAAATATACGAAAAGGAAGAAATATAAGACGAAATATAAGACGAAAGCCATACTTAGAAAAAAGTTCCAGAAAAAAAATTCAAGAGAATCTAAAGAAAAGATTGAATTCCCTTTTTAAAAAAATTTAAAAAAAATTGAAATCCTTTATCCGTCTAACCTACTACTGTAAAAAAAAAAACATACTTCGAGAATTTATTTAAAACGGATATAGCTATTTGCATTTTTTCTCATTCTATTTACTGCTTTATCTTTTTCTTAATGAAGAAAAAATATATTATTTAGAATTTTGAGATAATTTCAAGGAGAAGAAAAAATAAATCACCCTCTTAGTGACAGTGTTCGCTGTGGTGGTAGCACGATGCTGATGTTTACCAATTTTGATAGTTGAAGTCCTTGACGGACTGAATCCCGGCATTGACGATAACGTAGACGTACACGTTGAACCATCACATTTCTTGAGCATTAGTAAAAGAATTCTTAATACAAGGCATGCTATGGCATTCCAACAGATGCCTCAATACTGTCAGCATAGTAAGGAAATCTGTGAAAAACAAAAACAATTTTTTTTTCCTCGAAATAAATTGAAAACGCGACAAACAATATTCTGAAACACGTACGAAATAAGCTAGAAAATATATAATAATCGCAAAAATTGATTTTAAAGAAATTTTGAAATTTGAAAATATCAAATCAAACGAAAAAATATGAAGAAAAAGGAGAGTGATGAATAAATGAATAGCATTCTTCGAGACTAGTTAAAAAACAAATACGTACAGTTGGCAATAAATTAAATAACTTAATAATTGATATAGTAAACTGCAAGTAAACTACAATTTAGGTAGCAGAGAATATTTCTCACATAGCTGTGTAATGAAAATACAAATATTCAACGCTCATACATAAATCTAACACCATCAAACAATAATAATCCGTATGACTTACACTAATACTGATAATCAAAATTTGAAAATACATTAACCTGAGTACTTGACTCTGACAAATAAGCATGATCGTATTTATTGCTCAATACGTTAAGCGGATGTAGCAATGAAGAAGTATCATTGATGATTGACAAGAGATGCGTAAAAATTTAAATAAATTTTAAACTATGACAGTTAATTGGAAGAGGATCAATCACACTTGTCAATTAGATGATTTATGCTTTACAAAAAAAAAAAAAAGGAACAGAAAGCCTGCAACTCCTCGAGAATCCTAACAAGGCATGAGAATGTCAAGATATTGTTCCATGAACAGAAATCTGGCGCAAAAATAAGAATGCGGAAAACGTAAAATGCAAAATGATCCGGATATAACGGCCCACACCTTGGCCTGTTGGGCTTGAATGACTGGGATTTTGTCGTAGCATTGGTGATTTTAGAATATGCGAGCGAGTGGCATTACACCTTTAATCCAATTTAAAATCATTGATGAATTTGTTTTGCGATTAATTAGTCTAAGCTAATGAGGTCTTCAGCTTTTTTTTTGTCAACATTCACGTACGTCATATTTATCTTCTTTAAACAAATGATAAATATGACGTATGTGAATTTGTACATAACTTTTGTTATCCCGATGGATAGAAGCGGATGTGTGTGACGTGAAGTATGAGTGATATTCAATAAATTTACGCTTATTTTACTTATGACTATTATTAATTAGCGATTTTCATACAAATGATTTAGTATCAGTAAAAAAAAAGTCAAAAAAAATTTAAGTTGTAATATTCGAGGAAAAAAAATGTATGAATTATTATTCGTATAAAATATCTTCCCGGCTTAGTAGTTCTCTCCTTCTCTCTCTCTCTCTCTCTCTCGCTCTTTCGTTTCTCTCTAGCAGAATAATTTTTATCAAGTTTACAATGCCATTTACGAAGAATGTCTTCATGAAATTCTACAATAAATTATGTAATCTTTTGACAGTGCTCATAATGATAATGATAATAAGTTAACATGATCGGTATCGATCGTCATGATTTCTTCAATCATTTTATTCCTTCTAATTTTAATCTAACAACTTAACTAATTTCAGATTTATGCAATTGTTTTAATCAACTAATAAAATAATTAAAATAGTGTTCTTAATTGAATTGATGCTTATGGAACAAGTGAAAAAAAAATAAAACGAAATATACATGATTTTATCAACATGATAATGATATATCAAATATCAAATATATCAACAAATATATCATTTTGAGTAGTAAATGTTAAAAAAAAATAACGAATGCAACATTTCCTCAGGAAAATTAACGATAAATGGAGGTAAATTATAAACGGAAAATGTACAATATATTTGATAACATTCTAGATCACCGTACTGTAATTGTTATCCTTTCGAGATTACAATTATCCTATAGCTATTCTTATTTCTTCCAACAATCATTCAAATCATTATCATTAATTTATCATACAAACGATAGCTTTTTCGATCGTCACAAAAGATGTATTGAAATTCTGTTTCAATTTTTAAAAAACGAAAAAAGATAAAAAGTTTAGAAGTAAATTTCGGAAACAAAAAAATATTGCTATTTTTTTTTTGCTGAAATTTGACAGAAAAACTATGAACATTTCGTCTCTCATCTCTCATCATTCCCACAAAATGCTCAAAATATAGTTTTATCAAAAATTTCCCTGAATTTCTACTGCTGCTTAATACAGCTGTCTCTAAAACAGCCTGAAAAGCTTATCAACACGCACACATACATACACACACACATACATATACACAGACATACACACATACACACACACATACATATACACACACATACA